TGTATGTATGTATGTATGTATGTATGTATGTATGTATTTATTTATTTATTTATTTATTTATAATTATTTAATAAATATTATCCCTCCCGTTTTCAAACAGGTATGCAACAGCAATAAAAATTGCCACTGTCACTCAGAGTGGGCTCCTCCCTACTGTGATTCCCCCGGATATGGTGGAAGTATAGACAGCGGACCTACTTACAATGGTAAGTCCCCAACGTGGAAAATGGAGCAGATCCTTCCTGCTTCCTCTCCTCACTGGGGTCTGGAAAAGATGCCGGTTTCACTTCTTTCACCGTGGCTGACCTGGTCGTTATGGTCACTCTCCGTCCTGTTTTGCTTCCTGTAGGTTTAGATGTTTAGATGTTGCCACCTCCTGGGAGCTTCTCTGGTCTGGTGGTGGGAGTTTGGCAACTGCTGGCCCGTCTTTTTATCCTGAATCAAACTTCTGCCAAAGGAACCCAATCCAAGCCAAAGCAAACTACTTTCTGGAGGTGTTCACTATCTCGGCACCCACTCTGGGCTTGAGCCTCTGCCTGGCATGTACAAGAAATTCAAACGTGATCCAGTTAGAGAAAAGAAAAGAAAATAGGAGCCAGATCAAATGTAAACAAGTAGCTATAATAATGCCCTTCCTCTGCCCCAGCTTAACCTTGCAAATGAAGTCACAAAATTGCTGCAAATTGATTTTGCTACAATAATAATTTGTTCATCAGTAACCCAGTAGTATCTGGAGCTGGGTAGTATTTATTATCCCAGCTGGATAATGGTACAGCTGGCACAGAAGTTACTAGGCATGGAATGTGCAACAAGAGCGCTAAAACTAGGTTTGGCGCTGCTCGAAATGGGAAGGGGAGACCATTCCTTGCCCAGTCATTAAGAACAGCTTCTTGCTCCTTAATTAAGGTTAATTAGCCCGCTGGCTACTCAGAAGCCTTTATCTGAAAGCTTGGCTAAATAAAAGTTCTTACAGTATTTTGGAAAGATTTGTCCTGAAAAGAGAGCACCTTTGGGGAATGCGCATCTCAGGAACTGAAGGGGTTCTTTTTTATTAATTATTTCCAGTTTGGAAACAAGTTGCTGCTGAGCAAAAGGATATAAAGACAAATCCACCAGGAATCTACAGGAAGTAAAATTGGGCATTTTATCCCCCTTGGCTATCATACTGGATTGGTCACTGTCATTGAAGACCCATAGATTTTTTTTTCCTGATGAAAAACATACAAACAGTTATCTGGGGCCGTGCTTCTTAACCTTGGCAACTTGAAAGTTTCATAAGTTCCTCCTCTGAATTTTCAACGTTCGTTACAAGACATCTCTAGACAATATTTCTTACAGATACGTAAGAGGACACAGTTTATCTCAACAACATGAAATATCTTTGTTCCTGCCTGTCCATCTTCTCACCAAGGAAAGAAAGACAATGAAGGAACTGGTAGGCGGTTCCTATCAGCTTTTTTTTTAATTTAGAAAAACAAAGCTACATCCCCCTAGAATTATTTAAAACTGACAGCGTAATCCTACTATGGCTACTCAAAAGGGCACTTCACTGCACGTTACCCCCAGGGAAGATCATACAGGGTTATGGCCATAAAGAACTGCCCATTAAGCACGTTATTCAACATTTCTAAGTGTGTAGGAGGTAGACTTCCAGTATTAAAACTTGTTTTATGATGAAAACTCATTGACTCCTACTAAAGACTGTTTTCCCCTCTCCAACCTTGAAGTGATAAGTTTTTAAGTGTTTTCTATTAGATGACCAGTACATGGTGTCTGTAATTTCTATGTGGTTTTATTCTCTCCATCTGAAGTATTTACACAGCATGGCATAAACGTTTACGCTGCAAGTAATGTTGTTTTACATTTAATTGTATGACTATTTCTGTAACTTAATTTTGCTTTTAGTGGTCTATAAATTGTTCCCCCACCAGAACAAAAAACCAAAAAACCCCCAAACCTCTTGATTACTCCCTAAGATGTTAAGAAATAATCAGATGAAACAAAGGCGATAAATCATATTTCTGTCAACTTAGAAAAAGTCAGCATTTCCTCAGATTTTTTCCTGGAAAAAAAATCAGTTCAATTTGTTCACCCGACACACAATTACACAATTACATGAGATTTGCTGCTAAACAGCTCCTTACACACCTTTTTGGTAAAGTCAGTTTATATATTTGGTAGTCTTAACACGTGAAAAAGAGAAAGAGAAGTTGCTTAAGCAAACTCCGTTGTTCTATTTCTTTTCCTCCTAAACATGGGTTGAGAATGTGTGTCATACAATTCTGGGGAAAAGAAATCCTTCAGAAAAATTTTATTTAGGCAAATTTATTTTGTTCATGCAATTTCTGTAGCCGCCCGCCTCAATCCAAGTGACTCACCCGCGAGCTTCTTTCTTCTTTCTTCTTTCTTTCTTTTCTCCAGACAGGGATGTTGCGACACGAAACTGGATCCTGGCATTCGTGTTTATAGTTCTTCCCATCCTGATAGCTTTACTCATTCTTTATTGTAGAAGAAATCAAATAATCTCTTCCTTGTCGCCACTCGTGGAGACCTGTTGCAGGTAAGTTGTTTCCTCTCCTTCATTTTGCTCTGAAAATCTCTGCAGAAAAGCCAAGTTTGGTTTTTAAAAAAGAACAAATCACGTCTTTTGTGTACAATGTCTATTTCCTGTTTTGTATATGAAGACATAAGGTACTATGGGGAATCTGGAAGATTTGGATTTTTCTGGAAAAGGCCAGCTGAAGCACACACCTGACAGGTTTGATGGGTCAAGCTGTGACCTCAGCCAGTGGGGGAAATGCTGATCCTGCCTTGATCTAAACTAGACCATTCGTTTTTATAGCTTCGTATTGTCTACCCCGATAGATCACAATCTTTGTGGCACTATCAGGTAACCTTGGATGGTACTTGGGTACTCCCCTGGTGCAGAGTAACAAATTTGAACAATATTTTGGCTGTTTCACCTATGTCCTTTTGCAAGATTTTCAACTGACTGGGGTTTGAACAACTTAGGGTATGGAATATATATATATACATACACACACACACACACATACATACACACACACACACACACACATACATACATACATATACATACATATGCGCATGAGATGCAGAGCACTGCTCTTCTCCTTGACACATTTTTGGGAGATTGTTATAACTACTATTTAACCATTTAACACAAAGGTTTACATCCACTATCTGCCTGTTTTGACTCCCACTTCTGAATGCCACTGCCTGAGTGAATCCAAGATCTAAGATTTGAAAAATTGGTTTGGTCATGTAATAGCTTTTTTACCCATGTTGCCCCCCCCCCATTTTTTAAAAAATGGATTAATTTTGCAAATACAATCAAAGAAAAAAAAAAGAGAATAAAAAGAACAGAAAGAACAGAGAGATAAAAAGGAGATTTACAAACATTGCAAAATTAACAAAAATGTTCAGAAAGACTGCATGTTGGAGTCGCTGCATATTGGAGTATCTTATATCAATTTGAAATGTTATATGAGTATTAAAATAAGTTAGTACTTGAATTGAGTTATCATGCATTAATTAACCAGTTAATTAATATAACTGATATTGCTCAAATTATACATTCTAAAATAGTGCTTTAAAAAGCATATCTACATGCCTAGAAAATCCCCTCCTAGTTATTTGATTCCTAAATATAATTTGTGAATTATGAGAACCAGAAGCCTATTTCAGGATTGAAATCTTTTCACAATCCATACATTTGGTATGAACATTCGACCCGGGATAGAGGTGCTGATTGCAAACAGCTTATAAGAGGCACCCTTCAATCTAGCAGCTTTTGTCTTTCTCAGAGGCTTAAAGTTGTACTAAGTATTTTACCCCTCTGTTTCTTCAGACCTTTTCGCAGATCAGGTATCAGTAGGCAGCAGGCTGTTCGAACTGAATGCCCACCCAACTTTCCATATTCTTCCAGGAGTGCATCATCTTCAGTGGTAAGAACAGCAGCATCTCTACTATTTACCAATCTTGGTGGTTTTAAGGAAAAATGGGAGCAGGAACTCCAGGTAGAATGAATGGGAGCGTTAGCTGCATTCCACTACAAACCTAAGTGTGTGGGGTTTCTCCCCAAAGAACAAGAAAACAACTCTTTGAGGAAGTTCTTTAGAACTTTCATTTTGGAGATCCCCCTTGGAAAGCCCTGGAGCAAGGAACTTTTGGCTGCTGGCCAGTGGTCAGGAGTATCATCATCAGTCTTGCCTATAGTCAGTAACCAGCTGCTAAAGAAAAGCAAACAACAGAACACAACAAAGTCTACAGAATTGATTATCTAAACTGCGGGGTTCGGTAGGACATACTTTGCTACCGTCTATTCGGGCATTGTGGTTTCTAAGATGAAGTTCAATTAGACAGTGTCCATGGTTAGATCCTGCTGGCGGTCCCACACAATCCTGCTACCCTACACAGCATTTTGTAGTCCTCATCAGAGAGGAAGAAGCAGACATAATTTTCAACCTCGTGGACACTTTGTAAGGAAGAAGTACGTCAGGGGCTGTCTCACACCATGGCACCACAATGAGCTTGTGGCTTGCCCATTCACAAAAAAGTTATTGTGATAGGTGTAACATTGTTCCTTGCCTGCTCCTCTTTCCCCCGAGATGCTCCCTGTAGCCCCAACTCACTTTTTTCTTTTTTAGCCAGTCAAAGCACATGGTGGCGGCCACTCTCCATTTTATTCTGAGGAGCTTCCTTTATAAACCTGTTGGACCCATCTGGAGCGTAGAGATGTTCTTGTAAATGAGATGATATTAAAGATGCATGCCATCTTTCTTACTTTCATTTATATTATTAATAAAAGAATCTTTTTAAACAGTTTATAGCAGTGTTTTTCAACCTTGGCAACTTTAAGATGAGTTTTCTGCAAGGGTCTTTTTGGCCCTCCCTTAATATGCCAAGGATTGAACTGATCTGCTGCATGCAAAGCAAACGTTCTCACTCTAAGCTAAAGACCTCCACCTTGTCTGGATGGATGGGTCAGATGTCAGGCCCGGCCCAAGAACAACGGTGAAACAGTCCAGTGGAGTTCAGTTCCTTTATTTTCTCACACCATATAGACAGAATCTTGCCAGACTAAATCTATACTACTGCAACTAGTGGATGTGCCCTGGGAGATTCTAGGGAGTGACTATCCTGAACCTCTTATGCTTCCCGCGCTCTATCTCCGGACTGTGTTGTCTTTTGTCTCCTTTCCCCTCCTTGAATGCACCCCCTCCCTCCTGATAGCCTTGCCCACTGCTGCAGTCCACCACATCAGGTGAGTGGGTAAAGAGCTGGACAACACATTTCCTTGGTTCCTCTTGTCTACGACACTTGATCAGTTGTCTTCTGGGAACTCCTTTGATTTCCTCACACAAAGTACAGGCCAACAGATACCCTGTGGAATTGTACCCCAATAATCCACCATCTGTTGGAGAACCTAATTAGGCTCCTCCTTCATTTCCTTCTCCCACACAGGTAGTGTCGTCCATGGACCAGCAGCGTATCCCGCCAAGGTCAGTATGGGAAGGATGGAGAATGATGCAAGCTGGGGGTTCTAACACTATCTCTAAGTTGGCGTTGAGAAGGTTTTCTTGTGCTGGTCTGAGGCTTCCATTGCAATCCCCCTCTGGCTTCACTGACCCACCGTGGGCCAGTTTATTAACTCTCAGTCTAGCCTAGCCTAACAAGGAGGAAATATCTGAGCTCCATGTTTGCTGTCCATAATTGGAAGGAGATGATAGTTAGGAATAATGCATATTCACCCAATGACACCAGGCTAGTTCAGACAGCACATGTGGAGAACATTCCCTGTTGGAGCAGTTTGGTTTCAGAGTATTTTGTTTTTCTCCTGGAAAGTTCTGTTTCCCCCCAGAAGGAGCATTCAAGGAACGATTTGTGCAATTCCAGGAATAGATTGCTTGGAGATTTTTTGTGATTTTTGGTGCCATTTCCAGGCAACTCATTTCTGGAAATAAGCGAACCACTCTTGGAAAGGTCAGATTGGCTGTTGCAAGGGAAAACAGGATATTCTGGGAGAAAAACAGGATGTTCTTGGAGCTAGATTGCTCCAGTATGGAATTTCTGCACATCTCTTGTTCATATATGAGGATTCCATGCTGGAGTGGGTTTGGCTTTGTGCCCCCTCCTTTCTTCCTGTCTCAGATGCTGGAAAAGGAAGGTTCCAGGTTTTTGAAGTTGAGAAAATGGCGCTTAATATCACATAACACAACCACAATGCAGGTAGTCCCCAGTTTAACGACAAGTTCCATTCCCAAGGTCTGTCCTTAAGTTGAATTTGTATGTAAGCCAGAACAGTCTTATTGTATAATACTGTATAAGTCGTATTGTGTAATGAACTCGAACCATTGTGTATTTAACTCGAATTTTGCTACAGTAGGCTCCGTTCTTAACTATGGGTTGTCTGTAACCCGGGCATCCTTAACCTGGGAACTATCTGTACAAAACTGAGCTATGAGAGAGTAGACACAATTCTTGATTTAGTGCTGAATTTATCCAGAGTGGATATGGCATTGAATCATCACCCCTCCCTCAAAAAAGAGACCCCCATCTTTTTTATCATATTTTCAATTAATAAATCCTCCCACTTCAAAGGACCTTTTTTTACCTTTAACAATGACTTACTAAATCAAGTTTATTTAATAGGTTAGGGCTGGTGGTTAGCATCTGCCTGACTGTGGAGTCCCTGCGGTTCATCATATTTTCAATTAATAAAGCCTCCCACTTCAAAGGACCTTTTTTTACCTTTAACAATGACTTACTAAATCAAGTTTATTTAATAGGTTAGGGCTGGTGGTTAGCATCTGCCTGACTGTGGAGTCCCTGCGGTTCCTTGAGCTTGGCTGTTTTCTTGCAAACGTTTCACTACCTGGCTAGGTAACATCTTCAGTGCTAGGGAGTGTGGGGTTTGCTCTCTGTTTATATACTGTGGCATGTCCTGCCAGTGCTGGTGGGGGTGGGGATTTTGTTCTGTTCTATTTTTTCCTCTGGTAGTTCCTTGATTAGGGTATTGTTTACTGCTGATTTTATGTCTGGTGATAATCTTGGTGTTAATCTCTGCTTATCTGGGTGATGTTACAGGCACATAGAGATAAACAACATCTACACACTAGTCAAAAGAGACAATAGAGAGGAAAACAAAAGACCAGAACATCTCCTCTCCAGCAATCATCATCCAGATAAGCAGAGCTTAACACCAAGATTACCACTAGACATACAAGCAGTAAACAATACCTTAATCAAGGAACTACAGAGGAAAAAATAGAACAGAACAAAACCTCCACCCCCACCAACACTGGCAGGGCATGCCACAGTATATAAACAGAGAGCAAACCCCACCCCA